TTCATTTTATTGTTGTATATTATGAAAGAACACACATGTACTTGAAACTTATACTATTAATGCAATGGATGATGTTGTTGTTTGTTTACTACTTTACATTGTTGTGATACATTACATGACGTCCTCCGCCCCAGAACGTTTCCGCCGTTCTCGGTTTTGGGGTGTGACAGTTTAGCCTTGGACTCAGCGAGTTCATCAGTGGACTCGGCGAGTCTAGTGCCCAGAAAGCCAGAAAATTGATTTTTTTTTCCAGCAATTTGTATTAAATATAATTGAAAACAAGCCTAGGCTCTGATGCCAATATTGGGTTTTGAGCATTCTAACACTCCTAAGTGTACATGCAACCCTAAATACCTTAGATCTATGTTTTCTCTATCATACATGCAAATATGAACTTTCCAAGGTATTCATCCTAACTAGCATAATAACATTGATTCATATGAATATATCACGTTAGAATTACATACCTCATTGATGTAGAATGTCTTCATGAAGCTTGAGTGCCTAGTTCCCCAAGTGTGACAGCTCAAATGGTTCACACAACACCAAATACACTTGGAATATATTGAGAGAACATACACACTTCATAAAATCGGCTAGCCCTTCATTCTCACACATAGTGGCCGATTTTGTCAACAATAAGATGCTTATATAGTTAGTGACAATTAGGGTAAACCCTAATTGTCATGGCTTTCCATTTCGTTGGATCCATGGGTTCAAATACACCATGGAGCATCCATGGAGCATCTTATGGGTTTTAGCCCAACTTGATAATCCATGAAGCATTAGCCCACTATATAAGTATGGATGATTTACACAATCAACCCATATATTTAATTAGTCTTCTTTTGATCACTTAATTAATCCCAGATTAATTCTTGATCAATACTAATTAAATAATCTTATTAATATATTAGAACTTATAATATATTAACAAACCTTAAGTGTCATTTCTCTCATTATAGTCCATCCAAATGCATGATGCCATGCAACCCAAATGGACCATGCCGGGTCGGGTCAAGTCTCACCAATTATAGTTATGTACTTAGACATTAATCCAACAAGAATCTCATTGTTCACGTCGTGAGTTTCGAGCTTATCTCTTCGTAGACTTGTCATCCGTCTTCTAGCTTCCGAAGGTGGCCATATGACTCCTCACGTCGTGAAATATCAATGTTCACGTCGTGAGTTTTGATCTTATCACTTCGTAGTCTCGTGACGTACCTTCTAGATCCAAAATGTAGCAAAATGACTCCTCACGTCGTGAGTTTCTGTGCTCACGTCGTGAGTTCTATCAAATTAGGGTTTCTGACAGCTGAATCTTCGGAAGGTCTTAACTTTCGCATACGAACTCCGTTTTTGACGTTCTTTATATCCACACGTAGGTATTCACGAGTACTACAACTATCTTGTAGAATCCAATAGCTAATTATATGACTATTTTTAATTCCTCTTATTATAGAGATTTATAGTATTCGGTTTATCATAACTTCTTCACGCGAAGTTAGATTTGGATGTTCTCTATATTTTTGGAATCATATGGACATATACTTTGATTTATACCATAAAGTATGTATGAAAATACATATTTATATTAGAATTATCATGAAATACATAGTGAGTTTACTACATTACTAGTTTAACAAAATCACATTACATGATTGGTATAATCACATGTGATTGTTATTGACCTATTTTGACTAGTGTTACAAACTTGAAGATGAAAGATGGAAACGAAGGTAAAGGAGAATAAGGTGAACAAGATGCAAGAAAAATGAAGGCCAAAGACCACTAGTGGGGTGATCTGCTGTAACACCCTTAAAAATACAACTCGAAAATTTCATTTTTAAGGTTATCAATTATAAAATAAACCATATTATTTTTCCCAAAGCCATGTAAATAGTTTAGTTTTGCAATCTAACGATACATATAAAATCATCATAAGAGTCATAATCCCAAAATCACTAATGCGGAAAATCATGGTCTGATGCGATGCGATTAAGCCGGCCCTTTCCCCTTCGAGCTGAAAGTACCTGAAATCAAAACTGAAAGCCATAAGCACGAAGCTTAGTGAGTTCCCCCACCGTACCACATACAAATCATAAACATGCTGTCATGCATATCTAGGTGCCCGACCTACCCTGCTGAGCATACCTGGGTGCTCAACCAACCCATGCCAGACATACAGGGGTGTCGGACCTACCCTTGTCAGGCATTCATGGGTGCCCGACCTACCCATCGGTTTTATTCCAACCGATTACAGGGTCTATTTCATCCCTACCACTACCACATAAATCATGTATATGACACATAAGCATCAAACAATACATACCACCTTAATAATTATCACACAAACAATTACTAAGTCATATTAATACTAGTAGGCCAATATTGGTGCCTTCGACCCATGGCTACTAAGAAGGGAGTCTCAGCTCACTGCATATGCATAAATCATACTCCTCGGATGGCTCGGAACTGCTTTCCCTATAGCATAATAAATTTCCTAATCAGTCATTAGGTCCAAAAAGGACTCCCTTATGTCTCAAACTTCTAATTCATGTCCCAAGGCAAGGTCTCCTAATTCTTGGCCTATTGGTCCTCTTTCTCCCAAGGCCCAACTCCTAATTAAATTAAGGCCCATGTCTATTCATTTAAGTTTCAATGCTCAATAAGGCCCATTCAGGCCTAATACCATATATCCTAGGTCTGGGTCCATAAGCCTTACTCAACAGTGGGTCATGAGGCCCAACATCATAAGGCCCAAATATCCATTTAACCATTCTGCATGCGTACGCACAACGTACTTGGAATGTACGCCCAACTTATGCTGGTCTTGACCACTTCGGGGAGGTTGACCCAGTACATGCAGCGTACCAGGGGGCACACCCAACATATTGATCAGTTTCCTTAGAACTCCTTTGTGACTTAATCCATTAAGTCTTAACGAGCAAAACATAGATCCATGTCCTTTAATACGTCCTAAGCCATAAAGTTATAAACATTATGGTTTTGCATGCATGTAAGACATGAATTAAGTCCTGAAACACACTTTTTGACCATCTAACACTTGCTTGGTTGTTTTTTAAACATCAAGGCCTAATTTTTATGGCTCTAAATGCTTCCATGAGCTCAAAAGGACAGATCTTATGGACTGAAACTACCAAAACAAAAGGAATCTCAACCATGGAGTCAAAATGTCATATAAAACACCCCAAAAATACAACTAAGCGTGCAATGGTCAAGTTTGAAGTTTGATACCTCAAACAAGTCAGAAAAGATGCTAAACTCCTGGATCTACAATCCCCTCTCACGTTCTTGCTCCTTTGTCTAATTTCTTCTTCTTCAGAACTACCAAAAATCACCCAAAAGTGCACCAAATTAACCCACAAAGCATGCAAGAGGTTTAGGGTTCGAATTCTACTCTTTAGGGACAGTGGAGGCTGAGGGAATGAGGTATGGATGAAGTTAATATCTTTATATATGGCGCAGAGCCTAAAATTTAGGGTTCTTAACTGAACGGGTTACGCCCAACGTATGCTTGGGTACACCCAGCGTATGCGAGGCTCCCCTTGCTTCGCGCCTCAATCATGTACGATGCGCGTACACTATGTACGCCCATCTTAATACCTTTCATAACATTGTAATATTTAAACACTTAAATAAATCAAGGGAAATACCTGGGGACTCGAATGTTACATCTGCACCAGAAAAATAGGGTGAAAACAAAAATCGACAAAATCACCTAAAAGAATCCATGAATTTTAGTAAAAGGACCATCGGGTATTTGGGATTTTGCTCCAAAGCGGGGTTTAGTAATTTCTTAGGAGTACAAGTCGATCGTCGATAGGTGGAATGGGTTTGCAGAGAGAAAGGAGGGATGTAATAAATGTATGATGGGTGGAGATCTAGAGGAGAGGGTGCAGTGGTAGAGGAAGGCGAGTGTTCCAAATTTTGGGGGATTTCTTTTTCGCCCCTTAACTATTAAGGAGACGCCCACTCTTAAAACAAATATAAAGCGATGGCAATTTTAGGACACACAAAAATACATGTGTTAAATCCTTCAAATTTTCAAAGAGAAAACATTCTTTTAGGACACACACATTTTCACATCATAAACCTAGTCTATATCATAGTTCGTGTGTCATTAAAGACCTATATTTTAATATTATGGGTCATTCACCGACCTAATAGTCCATGAACAATATGTCAATATTCATTGCTTAATATTAGAAGTACATTGTTGTTTAATGTTTAAAAGTATAGCACATTATTTATTGCTTAAAGTTAATAGTACATTGTTGTTTTGGGGTAACAAACAACTTGAAACATATATTATAGATTTTGTAGTAGTTTTCGCTGTTTCATAAAATATGTAGTTTGAATTTTTTTGCATATAATAGTAGTATTTGTACATTTATATAAACATTTTATTTGCATGTAATAACAAAATATTTTGTAAAGTAAACACCAAGAGTGATGACATCAATAACGGCGCCAATAGGCAATATCGGCGATTTGATCATTGGGGACACGTTAATGAGTGACATATCAATAGAGCGACAATATTGTGGGCAACTTCAACGGCGGGGGACATATATTTAATAATTACGACACCAATAGTGGTGACATATAGGCAAGTGCCACGACTAATGAGCATCAACGACAAAGAAATAACTGAAACTTATTAACGGACGTGTTTGGTACAGAGCGTTTGGGAGCTTTTGGTTTCTAATATTTAACAAAACGCTCCCTTTTAAACAAAAAGTATTGTTTGACACTACAAACTTTTAATGTTTAGGTTATAAAAAACGTTCCAAATCTAAAACCTATCTCATGTAGCTTTGAACAAAACACTACTAGCTAGCAGCTACCCGCTACCCTACTACCAACTCCACACTATCCGCTAGTGTTGCGAAACACGCTCAACACGACATCTTGTTGCTAAAGCCTTTAACAGTGACTTCGGAAACTTCTAGTTTACGATTCAAAATTTTCAACCTCGACGCCCTTAAAAATGTGAAATAAAGATTACCAGGAATCCCAAAGTGCACTATAAATGAGATAAGATAATGACGTCAGAGCATTATCTAACCAACCATGTCTCCAACAAAGTCTATAAAGAGACACACACATACACACCCGGTCATAAAAATGTAAAATGGCCCAAATTTGTCACTTTTTAATAGTTTTTTCAATATATTTTATGTTATTTTCTGTGGCAAAGAAGCATAACCAGATCACCAAACTCAACAAATTGACGGAGTCAAGAAGATCAGAGAATCCGCCAGCTGGGGAAACATGGACAGAACAAGATACATCAAACTTATCTCGAGTGCTTTCTATTGAACCTCAACAAGGATCAAAGGAAGTAGACAGGGTTGATAGGCTGCCAGGTCAACCACAAGTGGACTTTGATCATTTTGCTGGCTATATAACAGTCGATTTAAAGGCTGGAAGAGCATTGTTCTATTACTTTGTTGAATCACCTCACAATCCATCAACCAAACCTCTCCTTCTATGGCTCAATGGAGGTAATGCGTTTTCTGTTTCACTCTACCGCTGAAATGGGCCCATGTCAAATTATAAGCTTACATGTTGTCCTAACCAAATTTTGGAATCCTTTAACTTTTTGTTCCACCAAAAAAAAAATGCCACTAAAATAATGCTTGCAAAAGACATGAATATCATTTATTCTCATCATGGAATATTATATGATAAATCATCATCATTTACATGTGCTGAAATTGATCACTAGTAATGAAGGTATTATACAGGGCCAGGATGCTCGTCGTTTGGATACGGAGCCATGGAAGAACTTGGACCCTTCCGAGTCAACAGTGATGGGAAAACACTCTACCGCAATGATTATGCATGGAACAATGGTAACAAAAAATGATGTATTTTCCACATAAAAAAACAAGTAGATGTCCCACATTTTTGATGGAACAGACAGTTACATGTCGTGTTTCCGTGAATACACAATGTGAAAGACTAAATACAGAAAATTTTGACAGAGGCTAATGTACTATTTTTGGAGTCGCCAGCTGGAGTGGGGTTCTCGTATTCAAATAGATCGTCTGACTACACGACAGGGGACAAGCAAACAGCTAAAGACTCATACACTTTCCTCATCAACTGGTTTCAAAGATTCCCCGAATACAAAACCCGAGATTTCTTTATTACAGGTGAAAGCTACGCAGGTCACTACGTACCTCAACTCACATCCCTCATTCTCTCAGAAAACAAGAAGACAAACGGAACAGTCATTAATCTTCAGGGAATTGCAGTAAGCACTTTTCATACGTGGGACTGCACAGGGCACAACACAGGAGCTCGTTTGTGCAAAAGTCATATTTGCCTTCCTCATAATTAAAAAAATCCCTAAAAGGATCATGTCCTGTATGTGCTAAATGGGTGTACTTTTCTGTTTTGTAGATTGGGAATGCTTTGTTAGATGAGAATACACATCTTCAAGGGATGCTAGAATACTTATGGACACATGCCCTAATGTCCGATGAGTCAAATGCAGGCATTAAAAGGTATTGTGACGATGCTGAGAATTTAAGCAATATATCAGAAAAGTGCTATCAGTATGTAGACCAAGGATTTAGTGAGGTTGGTAAAATTGATATTTACAACATCTATGCACCACTCTGTGAAGGAACCACACAAAAACTTCAATCTACTGCGTCTGTAAGTCTCTTATAATCCATTTAACAAAAATATGTAGCATACAACTTTCAAAACTGGATAAAATATATCCTGCGATTTTAAGTAATTGAACTATCTTTTAAAGAGATGACGTATTGAACCAGGTAAAGAATTTTGATCCTTGCTCTAGTCGTTATGTGTCTTCATATCTAAATCGAGCAAAAGTGCAAGAAGCTCTTCATGCCCGAAATACCTCATGGTCACATTGCAGGTGCCTCTTTTCTTATAAATACCTCGTGGCCAATATAAAAAGGCTGACTGTTTATTTTCTTATGAGCAGCGATTATGAATGGACAGATAGCCCAACAACTGTTTTGCCTACTGTCAATTCAGTTAATTGCGTATGGTATTAGAGTGTGGATATTCAGGTCAGTCCACCCAATCTACGCCCAATCCCTTTTTTTTTTTTTTTTTTTTTTTTTTTTTTTTTTTTTTTTTTTTTTTAATTATTTCTTTTTTACTTAAAGACATGACTTAGTCTAGGAAAGATATATAAAATATATACGGTTGTTACATTTCTTTTAGTTGCTGAATTTATTAAAAAGCTAGCTGAAAAGTTAGGTAATTACTAAAAAACTAGTTGCTAGCTTACAAGCTAGCGGATAGAAAATAACATTTGGTAAAAAACTAATTGATAAGCTACTGAAAAATATAAAATGTCAAAAAATAGCATTTAGGTTAATTTCAAAATGAGTTTCGTATAATTTATTAAGGACTTATTTGAAATATTGTAAAATAACTCCTAAATTTTTTTTATTAAAACGTTGTAAAAAATCGTTGAAAATGTAGTCTAAGTAGCTTTTTAAAAGCTAACTTAAAAGCTAATTTTTTACTTGTCAAAATAACAGTTTAAAAAAATTCGAAAAATAAACAAGTTGTTCAACTAGTTGCGATGAGCCAATTCTCAACCAAACCCATAACTCAACATGTAAATAAACACGTTTTGTCTGAGATTTCTGACCCGTCAACCCATTAATTTCATGTGTTGGGTTGAGTTATCTGTTTGGGTGGTGGATCAACCCGCCAACCCGATTACAAGCTACCCCAAATCCATTTTTATTTTTCCATCCATTCCAATTCTATTTCTCGATCATTTTAGTCAATGTAAAATGTAAAATGTTAATTGCTAATTAATTTAGAGACATGTATAGTTCATATAAATTTAACATGTGAAAAATTATCCAAAATAACCCATCGACTCTTTGACCCGAAATCGACCAACTGAACGGTGAACTTCTATACTTAAACGAGTTATGTGGGTTGGATTGGGTTGAAATTTCCAATCTGCCATCCCGTAACCCGCCAACCCAAACCCAAAGGCCTAGCGCCAAACATAACCTTAATGAATAAAATCAACGGAGATCGTACATTTCTCAAATATTTTTTCGAAAAAACTGCAAAAATGATCACTGTGGTATGCATTTTTTCTAAGGTTTAGTCTAAACCTTGACTTTTTGGAATGATGGTCCTTTTAACCATGTTTGCTTGTGGTTTTGGTTCCTATCCAAACTGAAAAGACTATTATGCTTTTCTTTTTTGTTTTTAAGATTTTTGAAATATTTAATAAATATTAAAAAGAAATCTCTCTCTCTCTCTCTCTCTCTCTATCTATCTCTCCCCACAACCCCACCTTCCACCATTGTTCTTTTTTTTTTTCTTTTTTTTTTGTAGATTTATTTGGTTGAAGAACATATACATCTCCATCTTCTTTCCAATCCACTAAAAACAATCATACACATACACACACTAAATCATATTTATATTCATCCACATCGTTTGCATCTTTCATCCAAATCTATTGAAAAACAAACAAACATATATTAAATCGACATCTTCTTTCCAATCCACTAAAAACAATCATACACATACACACACTAAATCATATTTATATTCATCCACATCGTTTGCATCTTTCATCCAAATCTATTGAAAAACAAACAAACATATATTAAATCGACATCTCTTACTAGCTTTTTCCCTAAATTTAAAATATATTCTCAATGGAACCACCTAATTTATCAATGAAACAAAAAACAAAGAATTAAGAAAAAACCCCACTAACCTAACATCTACCAATCAACAAGAACACAAATTAGTTAAATTTATTGTCAAAAGTTTCCCTTTTATATACATTAATCATTGATATTTTGTTTCCACACCTTCTTTGTTTGTTTCTCAAAATGTGAAACATATAAGGAGATTCAGCTAGCTTCTCTTCCGGAAATACCAATGGTGTTCCGGAAGAAATTCAAAAAAGACAACCACGAATAGTCAACTCCCATAGTACTACCACAGCTGCAGATGTTGGATCCAGTGCTCAAGAACTTCTTCTAGATTCATCAAAGAATAAGAAAAGATCTCTAACATAGATTATCCCTTCACAACCTCTGATTGAAACACTAAAACTCAATCCCATTCAAAATTGAAAATGATGCTAAAAATCATGATTAAAAAATCAGATACATCTTCTTTATCTGGATGAAGCCATTTAATAGAAAAACTCCATCAATTGATTACAGATAATAAGCACAAACTTGGATTTTGAGGAAGGGAACGATTTGAAGAACCCTTTTGAAATCAAGATACCCACTACAAATCTTTCAGTTCATCTTCGGAGATGGTGGATATGTGTAAGATATAGTCACTGAAGATTTCTCTATCTCTGGAATTCATTGCCTTTCTTGGTGGTGTACATCTTCACTTCAGGCAGTGTTCTTTGGATTATGATTTTTTGCGTAGGTTGTCGTTTCAGATCTGCCCTTTGTCTTTTGGATTAAGGTTAAATTTCAAATCTAGGTGTAACAACCCAAAAACAGTGATAAAATTTTTCATTTTAAAATCATTGTTTCTATACATCATATCTTCTTAAAGTTAACCATGATACAAACTATCAAAATATCAGAGTAACACTACTCACAAGTACGGAAACATGAGAGGGATGTTGTGTCGTCACGTCGGGCCCTTCCCATTCGTGTTAAAGTACCTGAAACCATAAACATAAATTATAAGCATAAAGCTTAGTACATTTCCCCAAGGTACCATATACCATATGAATCAGTGGGCCCAACCGTAAGGTATATTCCAACCTAACATACAATGATAGGCCTAGCCTTGGGGCCCAATACTGGGGTTTCTGCCAACCTAACCATACAATCATGGGCCCTGCCTTGGGGCCTAGCCCTGGGGTTTATTTCAACTCAATCATACAAACATGCAAGAGTCACAAAAATAGTTAACATCCTATATAACATAATCCAGTAGGCTGGTATTGGTGCCTTCGACCCACAAGTACGATGAGAGTACTCACCTCTCAGTCAATTCTCGACTACTACTGCTCTCACTATGAGAATATCAAGGCTACGCTCCACCTATGTAGTCATACCAGATAAACCATTAGCTCTTATTCTAAAACTAGGTGTTTGACCAATAGTCAACTGAAGCCGAAAGTTAAAGGTCAAAGTCAACAGTCAGTGTTGACTTTAGTTAAACGCCACATCGTGGCTAACCTTGGCCACATTGTTGCCCTCAAATATCCAAACATACGTGTTTTTCATAGTTGCCACACTGTGGTAACCTAAAGCCATGTCGCGTGCGCTAGGTTCCAATAACTTAATGGTTTAAGCAATTTTCTTTGATCCTAAAAGCTCCAAAGTACATGTCTGGTCTAACATGGTCTTGAAGGATAAAGTTTCCAACTTTATCGATCAATACCACCCAAAAGGTCAAAATCTCATATCCTAGGTTCTAAAAAAGCTAAATAAGACACGATTTCATCCATTAAACACTAATTCCAAAAAGTCTTTAGCTCATCAACTTCAAAGGGGTTTCTAATACCAAAATCATCATAAAAGTCGTTGCTTTATGGACCTGCATGTCCAATTCATGTCTTGAAGCAATAAAGAGTTAAAGTAAGGTTTTATTTATTTATTTATTTATTTATTTATTTTTATAAAAATCACATGCATGGTTTAAAAACTCAACTATACCTCAAATCCAAACCCATAATCATACCAAACGATCTAGAGATTTATAAAGTTGCAAACATTATGAGATCTCACCAATCCAACTTACTAAAAAATTAAGATTAAGGGACAAAACTAAAGATCTAGCAACCTATCATGATAAAATTTGAGTATTGCACACTTAGAAAGGTCCATAAGAGTTCTAGAACAAGGGATTGGGGGTCTCTTGCTAAATCCTAGCTCACTTCTTGTTCTTTCTTCCTTCAAGGACTTTAAAGAACACCAAAAAAAAGGCTAAAATTAAAGAGGAAGGAAATTACTATTTCTTAGATCTTAAGGAGGCTGATAGAGGCTAAGGGTGAGCAAACCCTAACCTCATCATTCCTTTAAATAAATAGCAAACCTAGAAAAAGTAGAGTTTTCTATCTGCCAGCTGCCACTTCGTGGCCGCATAAATGAAGTAGACGATCCATTTTGACTTGTCACGTCGTGGCAGTGCCTCCACCACGTCGTGACAAACCCTGAAATGCAAAACATGAAAACATGAAGTACCTCGGGATCCGGGCGTTAGACCGGACTCAGAACAAGTCCCCTTCTACATATTTGCTTTAGGTTTGGAACATTGAGTATATATGCGTGTTTTGTTCTGATGAATATAATCACTGTGAGAAATGTATATGTGGTTTAATTTTGACAAAAAAAGTAATTATGTGGGTTTTTTTTTTGTGAGAGACTCTTATTTTTAATTATTAGAAATAAATAAATAAGTATCAAATTTTTTAGAAGTAGAAAATAAATACATTAAAGGTATTATAATCATTTCAAGTTTCGAATGGACCAAATACGCAATAAAACAATCTCAAAAAGACAATCATTCCAAAAAAAATCGTGGTTTGAACAAACCTCAGTAAAAATACATATCAAAGAGACCCTTTTTGCAATTTTGTCTCTTTTCTCAAACATCATGTATCCAAACAATGTTTTAACATGCGAATCCCCGATAACATGTAATACGAAGTCAAACACTTTTGCGGTAGATTTGTTCATTCAAAAGACTTTTGGCATTCCTTGTAATGTTACAAGCTAAATGATAGAGATTTTTTCTTTCATATATTTAATATTAATTTATTTATTTGCTTTAAAGCATCCACAATAGGATCTCATTAGACAGTTATTTCATTGAAATAAGTTTTGCCTAAATCAAACAAGCTATTGTAAGAACATTTTTGTCCCAAAACCATTTTACTTTGGCTGAAAATTTACAAGCTCGTAGGGCTTTTCACAATTCTAATATTATGAAATTCATTTTCATAACATTTTTTTTAATTTTAGTAGGACCCATAAATAAGTTGTATATACATTTCTTTTGCTATAGCATGGATATATTAAAAATTCAGTTATTAGTTTAATTAGCACCAAAAAGATCAACAGAAAAAACGTTGAAAAAGTTTTCTGTTAATGTAAATCATCTAAATTGATATTTATTTCATCCATAAGTAACATTTGTTAAAAATATTCCTTATCGTGGACATTTATTTAAGCTTTATGGTTTATTAATGTGGCGATGATGTGTTTATTGTACATATAAAAGCATCTTGTAAGTTACACTTGATTTATGAATAATTGGCAGTTGTGACACTGATGGAATGATCCCAGTAACATCATCAAGGTACTTCGTGAATAAATTAAAGCTTCCAATAGAGACTGCTTGGAGACCATGGTACTATAATGGAGATGTGAGAATATTTGAAACAATAATAACATCGAATAACAATGTAGGAGTAATAGATATTTTAAAAATAAACAATACAATAATAGCAAAATTTAATATGTTGATGTTAAAAATGTGATAGGTGGGAGGATATGTGGTAGGCTACAAAGGAGTTATACTTACCACAGTAAGAGGGGCATGCAGTCCCTAGTTACCAGCCAGAAAGAGCATTGCTCTTGATTTCATCATTCCTTCATGGAAAACTTCCGCCATCTTTGGCTGAATAACCATTAATATAAGTTATTTACCGGATGAAAAATGACAAGTTATAAGCAAGTGGTATCTAATCATATTGGAAATATAACAAGTTCATTTTGAGCATTGAATGTTTATATACAATAATATAATAAATATGTCCCCTTAATCATTTTGTATGGCTTTAAAATAAAGTAAATGGAAAGAAATTGGTCAATTCCATCGGGAGCCAACCATTTTATTTCATTCCAATGAAATGAATCATTTTATGTTTTTCCTGATCAATTTTTAACCAATTTTCAATAATGATGTATTCCCAATTTTTGGCATGAATGTTGAGCCCTAAACGTTATCAAACGAGACAAATGATAATTAGATGCTTGTGTTTCCCTGTGGCTTGGGTTGCAAATGAAAAACCAAATTGTCTTGTGTTCACTAAACTTATGTGCGAGCACGTAACCTCAAACTCCAAATTTAATAACGAGTAAATTCCTTTTAAATAAATTATGTTAAATACAGGCCTCATCAACAATTTTATGTTTGTCTTTGTTCGTATTTTTTTCTGTTGTATGTTTCTAACAATTTCTTCATCCAATATATATACTACCTAAAAAATCTGAAACATGGCAAAGATGTAACGTTTGCAGTGGGTGAAATTTAAGAAAACAAAACTCCAACATATACCTTCTGAAAATAATGCCTCTAGATATCATGACTATTTGTGTACCTATAGTGACACATAATAAATTTAAGAAAAAACCTGATAAATGGTCCATATTAGTTTTCAAAAATTTAGATATAGTCAATAACTTCAAAAAAGTTCATAGATTGTCTATGTGGTTCCAAAACTATTAACAAACGATTATTTTTAGTTAGTTCCATTGTAAATTTAGTTTATTTCAAAATTAAAATCATACTTTTACCTTTTATATATAGGGTAGTGAATATGAAAGCTGTTTTATAGCCATATTTAAGTGTGGAACCATATCAAATTAAAATGACATAGTTTACTTCAACATTACAACATATTTCCATTTTATATACCCACTTATATATATATGGAGTGCATCCTCTATTAGAGCTTATTGCTAAGCTTTGTATATAGTTTTATAAAATTTTATAAGTTTAATTGTACACCACAAACCATATATAAAAATATTTTACCAATTACTTGTAGGTTTCGAAATTGAAATTTAATACATAAAAGTACTTTAAAATATTGATATTATTCATTAAAAACCCCACTAAACTTCTTTCCATAATCCATGATAGAAAAAATATACAAGTACATATATGATAGGTATTGAAGGAAGTTATGAAACATACCAGAGGTTTAATAAAAAACACATTCAAAATAGATAGATATTGAGGATGAATCACGAAATCAAATATAATATGAATTAAAAGGAAATAGGAAGAAGCTAATAATGAAAGAAAATTTTGTTGTTTAAACAAAATGAAGTCAATTTTGATGGTTCTATACCTAAAATTACATACATGATAACCACATATTCACTTTTCCGTATATATATATATATATATATATATATATATATATATATATAGAGAGAGAGAGAGAGAGAGAGAGAGAGAGAGAGAGAATCAAGATCAAATAAGAAGGAAATTTTCGGTAGGAAGGTAAGAAGCTTTTTTTCTACATATTTTTTTGCGAACAAACAAAATGAATAATTAGATGATTCATTTGTAAGATGATTCACAAGAAAAAATTCTCAAAAAAACATCTCAATGATTCATTTATATAATGATTTTGTTGTTATTCACTAAAATTGTCATAAAAGTACATTTTTTCTTAATTTACTTAAAAATGAATCATAAAAATGTTTTTTTGAGAATTTTTTCTCGTGAATCATTTTACAAATGAATCAACTAGTAATTCATTTTTTTTGGTCGTCAAAAAAATATGTATAAAAAAAACTTCTTACCTTTCTACCAAAAAAATTTTCTTACCGGATCTATATCCTCTATATATATATATATATATATATATATATATATATATATATATATATATATATATATATATATATATATATATATATATATATATATATATATATATATATCGTCAACGACATTCCAGCAACAAATATGATCTTTATTTAACATTGTTGTTTACAAAATAATTCCGCAGCAGAAGGCATAGAGAAAAACAGATTAGTGAAAAAGTTTTGAAGCAAATGATTCCAAATTCCAATTGGATTGTTTAGTGGTTTTTTATAACTTAAAATAATATTCAAATTCATAATAAACAATTCCTTGATAACGGTGTAAACCAAAATACTGCATGAATGTTAAGATTTCCGTCTTAAATAAACTAAAAAATTAATTCATCCTTTTTATTAAACGAATCGTCGATGTTGCCTTCACAAAGAAATTAATGACCTCTTTCTTAAATAAATTGATCAAAATGAACATCAAAGAAATTAATCTCTATTTCTAAACATTGAAGACGCCGATTTAACAAAATTGATGTAAAACTATTCTAAACCTAAAATGAATTTGAAAATCAAGGTTTTAAGGAATTAAAGATTATTAGTTATATTTTAGTTCAAATGACACACCTAATCTTAGGTACATAGCACCCTTATATAAACTTTTATTATATATATATATATATATATATTCATTATTTCATTTTCATATTGTATTATTATTAAATAAATGAATGATCCACATCTGTGAAGGAGTTGTTATTGTGTTTTTTCACCCCTTTTTATCTCCTGTAAAATTATATTCACCATTCAAAGATTGATTGTGGCTTAAGTTTTTGTTCACCACACTTATTATCTCTTAACTCCATGGATACTGAACTTCTATCTTTGGCCATTTTTACCCAAACTTAATCTTCTCCACCATCATTATCATCATCTTTTTCCTTATTTTTATTCCGGTGCCTAAGATTTGAGTTTGAAGAGTCTTGCTAAATTTTCCTTGTCTAATACATGTAAGTTCTCTAACTTGAAATTTTGATGGGTATACTTGAACTCCATTGTTTCCATGATGATCATATTGGAACATTGTGCAACATAGGTATTTGAAGCCCTAAAATTATTTGACCTACTTGCTATAGTTATGAAATTTCTAGCAGTTGCAGCTACTTTGAAGCAAATCCCAGGCCCGTGATGTAAACCCCCATAATTTGAGTCAATAATTGTGTCGAATTGATGATTATTTTTCGAATTACCAATTTTCATACCCGAAGAATTGAGATCATTACCGAATTTTGTTTCTTCATCTGGATCAGATCCTACCATTTTTCTCCATTGAATCCATAGGTTCGAAGTAGAACCAGTCTAAAAAACATAAACAACTCAAGATCTTCCCAACATCATCATTTCATTCACTATGAAATAGATGGTTTTAGATCAACAAAATACATCAGAAATCTCACTATGTATTACACTCACACTCATATTACACATGAATAAGAAATCTATACATAAAACAAAGAGTATGAACAAACCCTAGCAATGAAACCCTAATCTAAAGGTGAGAAAGACGAGAGAGTTTTTATGAATACAAAAGTGAGAAAATAAACTGAATGACAAGAAAAATGCAACAACAGTCACTTAAATACTTCAGGTAAAGAAGATTTGAGGTTCAACTTGAAGTCTGCGTGTAAACCCATAAACCTGCATCATATTTATGAAATATACCCAAATTAATATATTCATTTACATAACTCGTCCTTATAGTCTATAAATTAATGTTTAAGTTTGAAACCTTTTAAATATAATTTTTTTTAACACGCCCCCTCAAACTTAAGATTAATTTGAGAGAACAATTAGAAATCAACTTCCTTTAAAAACATCAATCAAACCAAGACGATTTGAAATGTATTCATGTTGATTAATTCCAAGAGCTTTAGTTAAAATATCTGCATTTTGGTTTGAAGATTCAATTTTATTAACTTTAAGAATTCCGTTTTTATTTTTTTTCCCCAAATAAAATGAAGATCAACTTCAAAGCGTTTGGTTTTTTCATGAAACATAGGATTCAAAGCCAACTTCATAGCTAACTCATTATCACAAATAATATCAACATGTGAATTAGTTTTAATACCTAAATCAAAAAGAAATTTTAAAATCCACATCACATCAAAAGTAATACTACCTAATGCTCTATACACTGACTCAGTGGAGGAGCAAAAAATAGTACTTTGTTTACTACTCTTCCAAGAGACAAGATATCCACCTAAATAAACAAGATATTCAGTAACAAATTTACGACTGAACAAACACTTTGCCTTGTCCGCATCCACAATCCCAATCAGATTAAAAGAATTAGTTTTAGTTAAATGAACACCTTTACCAGGACTGTTCTTCAATATCTCAAAATTCTAAATGCAATATTAACATGAGATTTATAAGGTTTATGCATATATTGACTTAATCACTGGAAAACATACGAAATATTTGGACAAGTAATTGCTCAATAAATCAATTTACCTATAACTTGTAACACCCAAAGTCTCGAAGGCCAAGAAAGGAAAGAAAACCCTAATTTTGAAGGGTGACTCGGCGAGTCCAAGGAGAAACTCAGCGAGTCCGAGCGGGATCCGGGTCGAGGAGTAAGTGACCGACTCGACAAGTCGACTAAAGGGACTCGGTGAGTCTGGTCTGTGTGGAGAAAACCCTAAATTCGAGACTTGGAGCCTATTTAAGCGCCTCATTCTCCTCCTTAGGGTTCCTTTACTGCCTCTCTAACCCAGAACACCAAACCCTAGCCGCCATATCCATTGATTGAGCCATTTGTTGCCTTGGAAGGTGCATTAAAGCTTGGAGAAGGAGGAAGGAACTTGGAGGAGCAAGGAAGGACTATAGATCTGGGATTGTGAGTTCATTTATGAGCATTTGGAGGTGATAAACTAGTTCTTGGACCCCTTTTTGCACCTAGATCTATGTGTGGTTGTTGGGGATTTTTAGCCATAATGTTATCCTTTTGAGTTAGAAGCCAGATCTAAAGTTGCTACTTTAGATCTAAGCATATTATGGTCTTGATAAGCATAAAGTATCAGCCCTTGAGTTGATTATGGAGCCTCTTTGCCTTAAACCCTATTTTATGGTGTATTTTGCCTAGATCTCCTTCTCTACACGTAAAGTTTGCAAATTTACGTGATAAATAGGCTTGGGAAGGGTAGATCTACAGTTTGGAGTCCATGCATG